GCGACGTTTCCTTAATTTGCACTACCCTTTCGATTGGAGCATCGGATTTCATGTAGACAAGGACATGGTAGACACTTATGTCTATTTTTGGTCATACATTGCCTATTCTCGACCAATATCACCCAAAATCGTCGTCATTAGCGGGCGCGACGTCGCACGCGACGCCCACGCCCGAATTACGATTCTCTTGCCACATACCCGTGGATGCGCTAAGGCGCAAGGTTTCTTAGACTCCTCAAGTCGCTCCCCTCGATCGCAAGTGACTCCACTCATTATGGTATCTACACCCTTGCTCGTTTCTGAGCTCCTTCTCCTCGCTCCTCTAGTCTCTTCACCCGAATCTCACGGAATTGTATCCTTATCTATCGTGGGTGTATGTTGAGCCGCAAAGGTCGCATCCTATGTCGTCATGTCCTGCGATTAGGCGATCAGCGGATGGGCGGAGAGACTGGTGAAGAATCACAACCATTGTACCTCACTTATTACTGCACTCCTTTCTGACACGATGTGGAGGAGGCGGGCACTAATGAGAAAGGAACGATGTTTTTAAGTTTGCGCGCAACTCTCCGCCCATCCGATTATCGCAAGAATGTGTTTCAAAGCTCAGGAAGGTGTAAGGATCAAATGTAGCACTACATTCTAAAACCTTGTAATCACCTGCTGCAGCTTACTGAAGGAATTATGGAGAGTTGCTTGGTCCGCAGCCGTTCGATTATTCGCTGCTCTCCATACCGATCCAAGAAGTCCGGTCAGTACCTGCAATGTCACTTAGTAACCGGACGGTTGCTCTTTTGTTATTTCCTTTTCGAGTGATTCTGACGTCGAGCTCCACCTCCTATCGAGTGTCTGGTCATCATGTTCACAAAACTTTCACGACTTCCATTTGACTTGATATTCGAAAGAGGAACTGCGAATACTCCCCCCCCCTAAGCCAAACAGCGTCACAATCTCAATAGCTACCTTCACTGGGGATTTTTCCGGTGTGACCAGAGATGGCAAGTACTTCATATTGACCGGTCTGTATGGCGATTCCATTCGATCGATTCGTTTGGCCTCATGGATCGTTTCCTCCTAAAAATGGCTTCAAAATTGTAGTTGGGCTCGTAAACGATCTAGATAAAAAAGAAGACATGCAAAGGACGAAAATAACCAGAAATCTGCGATCTTCTAACAATAAGATGCGCCACGCACTCCACTTCTGTTCAAAATTATGATGGCATTCGAATTCGTTCTGAGGGCTACACGGACGCTATGTCGCACCTTACCAAGTGTGCAAGTCACTGCCCCTCATCGAGCTCCGATATGGACTGTAGCTATCCTACCAGAGGAAAGGGAGGATAACTATGTTCTAAATGTGATTCTCCTGCGTGGCAAGGAAAGGCATTATGGAATACGGTAACTTACATTTCGGTAGAGCGAGAGTACGTTCCTTTTGGTCCGCCGTATCCTTCGAATACGTTTTCGTTTCGTGACTGAGTTCGTTTTCAACCTCGATTTCTTTTCAAATTGTCGTCCCTGTTTCGAGCTTTTAACTGGTTTCGACAAACCTCTGAAAGGAAGTGGTAATTTTAACACGAACAACGATCGCGGATTTCAGAGCTGAGACCTTTATACAATTATTTAGAACAGGCAGTCGCTGTAAAGTAAGATGGCCGTGATTGTCGCGCAGAATGGTCGCGTGCGATGTTTTTCCACGTCGCACGCGACCTGCTTGCGCCACGATTCAGGGCAACAAAATGGTTGCATATTTGGGAAGCGTCAGGTCGTCCAGGGTTATCGGGGAGATCTGAGGAGAATGGAGACAGGAGGACGACCAGAAACTGACTACCATTCCCTAGTCAGTTGACCCGAAATACTGTAGCAACTACAATTATGGTGAATGCAAACGATGACTATGACGGCGCCTGAAATGGAGGGCAACCAGAACGGACTCCCCAGCGTATCGTTGCGGACTCAGAATGGTATTGTTGGTGGAGGAGACCGCCTGGTAGCGCTCCAGACTCCAGACTGTCTTATGCTCTATCGCTTGCAGGGACATGGCTGTACATCAAATCAATTAGGTCCTGATGACGCGAATGCGACTACAAAGCACTTTCGTTACGTCACTGCCAAGTTGGATTCGCACAGAAAAACACCCGTTTGCTCGTGCCACACGCTTGAAGCCTTTTCTTTCGCTTGCGCTTCCTGCCACGATGAAACTTAACCTCGGCTGGTTCATTTCTTTTCCTTTCCATCACGAAAAATTTACCTGCATGTTTATCATTGAAAAAGTTCAGTTTCGCGACTTTCTATCAATTCCAGGATTTCAGTAACTTTTACTACTACTACAAGGGTAGGTACCACCCTCACATCTTAGAAGCGTAACCAGTAGGATTTTAATGTGCCCTTCAAATGGAGAAATATTTTTCGGATTTTCTTGACAATACGTCCTCCCACTTTGTGTAATGATGCATCATTGAATAAACAATTTTTTTTTCACAAAATGGCTCACGCTATATGGAAAATCAATTTTGAAGAGGTGACCTGATAATGGTCAACAAAACCGGCTATGATAGGCGCGTCATGGTTTACCATGAACGCTCACACTTTTCGAAATTTGGCTTCAATTTTTTAGAGGAATTCATTCAAAGGATAAAGGAGAAGTCTTCGCCGTTGATCAATCCCTTTTTGGGATGCGGCACGCATTCTACTTCCATTCAGAATCGTAGTGGCTTATTGAATGCGATGTGGCCTATACAATGACTTGCGGTGGCCAGCCGATGTACAAGTCAGTGTTTTATCCTCCCAGACGAATCTGGTACCAATTTACCGTCCCCGGAGGGTAGAAGGCTTGGTTGGCCTGGGCGGGAGTCGACCCGGGATTTGAACCGGGGACCGCGCGAGTGGTAAGCGCGCCGCTTGTCACTACATCATCCTCCCCTGAGTATTAGTTTGACACATTGAATACTAGAGCAGGTTGGTTTCGAAAACCGACTGGTGCACCCCCCCCCCTTTTACAGGTGCCGATAGTAAGACATCTCAGGTCGCTGAACGTGCCATAAGCGGCGCTTGGAACGCGAGTGTCTCTTTTCGGGCCTACGCCACCTAAAAACTAACTGGAGTTGTACTTCCTAAATTTACTGACCGAGGGCTCAGATCCCACCGAAAAAGCATCAAAAAAGCAATCTTGTATCTCTCCCGATTTCAAAACCCTTTTCCGCAAACCGAATGCGCACCCACCCTTCTAGGCGACCTAAACACGGCTCGTACACTGTCCCAGAATAATCTCAGAATATTTTAGGTTCTCCCTGGCAGGAGTTTGCTTCCATGACGTGAGAAATTGAAACCCGTCGATCATTTACAGTGTCGTGAAGGTTTATAGCCGTTCCCGACAATAGCTGTATAGCAGTGATAGGTGCGGCCGATAGGGGTGCAGTCCGGAAATTCGAAAACTGCACTCTAAACAATTAAAGTTACGGCTGATTAGTCATTCCGCCGATAGATCCGGTCAGAAGTGATAGCATAGGCAACCTGGGGTCATTATGTAAGTTACTGTGTTTTCCTGTCAAAGGGAAACTACTTCCTGAGGTTGGAATCCACTGATTTCCCATACTGTCTCCTGGATTATATGATTCAAGCCTCCACCCCCTTCCCCCCTCCTCCCTCCCTCCCTACTCCCCACGTTTTCACCTTCCAAGTGTTTCTGTGAAAGGTTAAAGTTACCTGAACTTCCCTCTTATAGATGGTTTCTTCAACTTCTTTCGTGGATTCTTGATAAAATTCAATTTCAGCAATTTGGCTGCTTTCGTCCGAGCGAAATCCTTGACGGCTTTACGTATCAGTTTCTTCTTCTTCACAACTGCCGGTCGTTTCAGACTTTCGTCGACGAAATCGTAATAAGGACGATGAAGTGCATGTGGGTATGATTTTACCTAAACGATTCCACCATTATGATAGGAAACTTTGCGAAATGGGCTCAGACTCACCAGCTGGTTGTCGAATGCCTTCACAAGACATTTGGCTCCCGCTTGTAGATCGTGCTCTTTATCGATGTCATCCAAGCAGGCCACAAACGCTCGACGATTATTTCTGCAAAGGAAACATGGCAATCTACCGAGGCTAAAGGGGAAAGCAAGGAAAGGCTATGCTTTTATTAGGCATTCATGGGTCATTTGAGAGGAGAACATGGAAACACTGAATATTTTTAAATGACTTCCTGAAGTGATTGGTAACCCTCTACATCTTATCGCTCCGTAAACTCCCCCACGTCCATATGCAACCCATAACCCATCGAATAGGACACCAAACAACGACCATTCATAACATACAAGTCTTCGCTGTAAAATAAGTTAACATCCACCAGCAGAGGACTGCGTTCAGGATGTACCGGCTTACGTATCTTATAACGACTGAAACCAAAGAAGTCAGGCAAACGGAAACACGGCGCAGTTTGCCGACGGGGGGGGGGGCATTTTGCACTTTCGTTGCTTCACTAGTTCTGGTTTACAAGTCTCACTCTGGTGAAACCTGTGAACTCTTGTGAAGCTGGAGCAAGCTCGTCAAGCCATCATGGTAAAACCTGTCAACTCGAGAAGAGGCTGTCTAGATGGGTCGACACGTCGATGGAAGTAAAGCTCTCCCTCCCCCCCCCCTGTCGCTAAACAGCGCCCGGAAACATTTTCACCAGGACAACGACCCTTTCACTTTCAGCGACCTTATACGACCCTCCCCCATTGGGGATCCCTGAATGTACGAGTCCTGTCTGCGAAGACTTCACACTGTACGATTCAGTGTTTTGATCCTTTCTGACGAGAAACCACCCTCAGACAGTTCGTGTGGTAACCTTCCCTTGTTAATGATTTGGATTCGGCTTTTTAAATTAAACTTGCCCTTGTGCAGTGGTGGCTTAGTGATAAGTCCAGAGGCACAAACTGAGGTCCTAGTTTCGGACCGATCCGCCTGTTCAGACCAGGTGTGTTTTCTCAAAGCAGTGCGTAAAAATAGGGCTCGTTTGGGAGACAAAAGCGTAGATTTGTACATCAATCAGCACATGCATGTCAAAAGCAACTACGACTCTGAGACGAAAAGGAAACCTCCATGGAAGGGATTCATCAACGTCCAATGCGCTCTATTTTTTTTCAGCAACCGCGGTGTCACAAAAAAGGGACATGTGACAAGGCGATCATAATTCGCCACGTTGGTGGGCGCTGCGTGGGACGTCGCGCCCGGACGATGTTTCTTGGTCGGTAGTACGACAATAAGACAATATTTGGCAAAAATAGCCCATGAATGTCTAAGATGTCGTAGAGTACATAAAATCCAGTGCTCCAACCGAGAGGCTGATGCAAACTGGGAAAACGCCGCGTCCATCGCAGCGCGCGACAATGGACGCAGCGTATTTTTTTCAATTTCCAGTAACGATTGCTATTTGAACGAAGCGGCAAATTACGATTGTCTTGACCGTCCCCTGAAAAAAAGTACCAAAGTTGAAATTACGGCTGTAAATCTATGAAGAGAAAAGTTAGCGCAGATCGCTATGCCCTTTTTTCACTGTGAACCAGTTTTATTCGCTTGGTCGCGGGGTCACATCCATTTTTCTGATTTCCAAACTGGGTTATTCAATTGTAAACGAGGTTACTCAACGAGCGTTGTAGGATGTCACGGACGCTATCACCATATTTTTTTTTCAATGAAATATGTTTTTTTGGAATTGCCTTTCTGCTTTTGAATGTGATGTTTGTCTGTACCAGCCAATGTGCAAATGAGAGTCTTTATTTTCCCAGGTTGCAGTACCATATCGTGAGTTCGGGAGAGATAAGGTAGATAGATCAGCAGGATTTCGGCGTTCACACCCACACGTCACAGCTAGAGGGGACCATCGCACCTCCAGAAATTTACCCATTTTCGGGACATTTACTGGACCATCTTATATAGTATTGATAAACCCATGATTTTTTAGCGATCAGGAGAATGCGTGCCATCGGTCTGCCATTTCGCCTTGTCGAATCGGTCACGGTTAGGCTGATAGTCCCTCTTGGACTCAGGGTACAGCATGGGGATGTGCGAAATGTCGGTGTGAGTACGACCCCCCTTCGAATGGGGTCCAGGCACGACCCCTCCCCCCCCCCCTCCACCTCCACGGCTTTTTCGCAACCGACGAGGCGATGAGTATATGGTCAGCGAAAAATTTGTCGAGCGGGCATATAATACAAAAAATTAATACGACCCCCACTTTTCCACAAGAAAAAATAAACTATCAAAATAAGTTTGTCTCAGGCCCCCCTCCCCAGAGCAAAAGTACGACCCCCGCCATGGGTTTGACCACAACGATGCTCTTGGACTACCCGGTTCCCTTTTACAGGTTGAATTAAGATAGCAAAGGGTAATAGAAGTAGCTCAACAAGGCAGTCAACTGGAAGAAGGGTATTAGTGCTAAAGTAATCCCAGCTCCGCACAGAGACTCCTTTGAATGTCCTCTTGAGGGCCAACAGCGCCCACTTGCCCCTTTAAGGAAATCTTTTTTCTCTGCAACGAGAGTAAAAGACAAGAAAGGTTCGTGGGGTGCAGCTTCGAATCTTAACGGGCCAAGCTTTTTGCCTCAACCGAGAACTCCATGAAATAAATTTCGCATCGCGTTCTGCGGCCATAAACTGAAATCGAAACTAAACCACCCAAAAATAAAAACAGTGTTCAAAGGTCACCTACCGGTCCATTTTCATGTACTGCTCTTTTCCGATTGCTCCAAGTAACGCACTGACCGCTTGAACGTACCAACCATAATGAAGTTGTTGAACTTTTTTGATCTCTCCCTTACTCATGGCCACTTTTTTCATGCTTTCCACCTTGCTTGGAGGTGCGGAGGACGATACATCGCTCACAGTTAGTACTGAAAAGGGCATCAGGACTGCTTTATCACGCTGGATTAAACGAAACGTCACTAATTACCCTTTTCGATTCTTTTTTAGCAACTTCTGGGTCCAAATCTGAAGCAGGCCGAAAGTTCGGAGGGGGAGGCTACTTCGGACTCCACGTTGCGCGGAACAGGTGCTGAATCCTGGCCAACCAAGTCTTCCATAACTCCCAGCGAAATTTTGAAGCCGTGAACACCAACCGTTTGGCCTACGGTAAGGCTCATGCGCCGTAGGCGCAGCGACGGTACGCAAGTCTCAAATCATGAAACGTTGATAAAAACTACCTTCAAGGATTTTTTTCTCTGACCGTTCGTTCGTGCCTCCCCTCCCACAATCAGTTACCCTCTTGATGAACCTGTAAGGGCGCGCTGACCGCTGAATAGACCTTGCATCTATAGGGGCTTATCTGGACCCCAT